AATGTTGTGGAGTAGAGCAAGCATTTTAAATAAATTCCTATTAAGTAACTAAACAGAATGAACGTTCACTCTGTTCTGCTGGTTCCTCGCTGTTGGCGCGCACAGTTATGAATGCTTGTGCAGCCATGAGTTTTAGTTTAATTTTAAAATTAGCGCAATTTCGGGATTTGTATTATTTGAATTTATTTTTAAAAAACACAATGTTGAGTTTTATTGTAACACTGTTTAATCGCGCCCACGGTTATATTTTGTATATTATATATAATTATAATGTATTTCTGTATAAAATAATACTACAATAAAAAACACATTTGTGACCGACCTGATCCAGCAAAATTAGTCACAGTGACCCAAATTTAAAAATTGAGATTTTGATATTAATGGAAAGAGGACACTGTAAGCTTTCAAATGATACCTTGGTCATACCTTGAATGGTTGTAACGATATACAGATTTGAATTCTGGTCGTCTGCCCTTTTTTTTCCAATTGAAAACCTAAGAAAATCGCTTTTAAAGTTTTTTTGCCCGTTTTTTTTTTTTTTTTTTTTTTTGATATCTTTCAAAATCCATAGCATTTTAAGGGATAAACTATTTATTTTATATAGCTTAATTTGACCAAATAGATTAACATATATAAATGCAATTTAACGAGGCTGAAACTCAACTTATTTTTAATTTTTTTGAAATAAATAATTAAAAAGTCACTTTTACAAAAATGTTCTAAAATCAGAAAGATTAAAGAGGAGTCAGAGAGAAATTCAGTTTTCATACGGATTAGCCCACATAAGCAGAGAGCAGTCTGTTTTCTTTCATTTTGAATGGTTGTGTTTAAAAGTAGACATTTCAATATATATCTGTGAGGATACCTTATACGCTGACTTTCGGTTCATGAGACAAGCTTCAGTTCACGTGCCGCGCGTCTCCGCGTCGTGATTAGGCCTAGCTAACACAGTCTCATCCCAAAAAGTCATATAACTGACGTCTTGGGATGAGACCGGGTTGGCCTAGCCTATTGTCTGCAATTTATTTCTTATTATTAAATCCTAGTAATTGGTTGATGAAACATTGATTTAAATTAAGATAATTATTTTAAAACGAAATTTACTTTAAAGAAAGGCTTTGTGCTTGCATGTTTAAGCTATGTGAAAGTTTTAGTGCTGCTTCCAGAGAACGGTCACGTTCGGATTGTTTTTCCTCATAAATGCGAACACGGAAAATAAAATAAAGATTTTATGTTCTGGAGAGAGTCAACCCTTCTTCATCGGGTGAGTATTACTTTTGGTTTGTGCAGTGTGGTTCACATAGGCCAATTTATTAAAATATTTAATTATCTGGGAATTGGATCTCCTCCATAATGCTGAAATTGCCCAATTTAAAAAAAAAATTAGTAATAATTTAAGTTTTGTGGTGTAAGTCTACGTATTTTATAATGTTAACTTCAAAATAATACTAATAGCCTAGTAATTTAAAGATGTTGTAGCTAGCATTGGGTCTGGACGTGAAGGATAACTTCGGGAGTTGAAGGGACGTGTCGGTGTCGTGATTCTGTCTTCTCACACCGCGACACAGGTTCGTGGATCTGAGTGTCGCGATCGTTACAGCCTTACATAGGCTATATTCTTCTTGCAGATAAATATACTCACGCAGTTTAGGTTAGAAGCCTCCAGTGAGTTCAACGTTTCAGGGGATAGGAAATGCTCAGAGGTGACGAAGGGAGTTGAGAAGAGCAATGTTTATTTCAGCGAATTTAAAGCTTTGACAACTTTAATCGTTATTTAAATACCTTTACTCAATTATCTCGACTACGAAACCCTGTGAGATTATTTTTGAATGTCTGTTCTTTGAAATTAGCAAAAAAAAATATATATATATTTTTTTTTTGTTATTTCATGGTTTTTCCACATAATCGGCCCATATCTTAAAATGGAAGGTTGCAACTTCCGACTCATTTCGCCAGAGCGGGTCACATTTGATTTTTATTTTTTAAACAATGTAATGTGTAACCTAAAAATAAACAGATTATTTGATAAATGGTATATTTAAATCTGCATATTGTAGCCTAATATCTGCAGGGCAGCCTAGTCTTAATAAATGTATGCTTCATTTTTCATTAGTAAATTTGATCAATAAATTCAATAATTTAGAATAATAAGACACTATAGGGCTGTTACCCTAGGTAAGGCTGATCAAATTAAATCGGTTACACAATAATGTTACGAGATTGGTTTAACAGGAGTCAATTAAAAATCGCTGTAAAGAACGATACTTTTAAACATAACCCTAAATCACCATAAGGTGTCGCCAGATGACCGTCTTAATGAACGAGTCATGGATTCAAAATGCTGAATCATTCAGTAATGAGAAAACACATTGCTTTGAGATGCGCGATGGGTCGCTGTGATCTTTGTTTAACTATTTTCTCTGCTGAAACAGAAAAAGTCAATATTGCATCTAAAAAGTCAATATTGCATATAAAATGTAAGTGACTTGACTTGTGTGTGTGACTATGTTTGTTGTAGTGAAAAGAGTTGCACCCTTGTTAAAGTTTAAGGCCTTTGTTTTTTGGATATATATCTTTCTTTCTTTTTTTACAAAATATGCATATAACCCATATATTTTAGATTTATTATTTGCTTTAAATTAAATTAAGATTGTATTTTTGGTAATTGAACCTGAATGAATTTAAAAATGAATGTGCTATATTTCAGATCATATATTTGTTTTTCTTAAAATTTGAACTAACTTTATTCTCAGCTGAATTATAAATATTTTATTTCTGTATCAATTAAAAACACATTTGATTTTTCTTTTTTAATCAATGTAGAATGTGTAACTGAAATATAAACAGAGTAGGGCTCTGTTTGAGGACAAGTAACTAAAACCAATGCGACATGATGAATGTTTGTTTCCCAAACCATCTCAGAGTAACAGCTTACTTTTCTTTCTTACTATATTCTTTCTTACTATAAACTGTGCTGTAGAGCTTGCATCAGTCAAAGCAGGGTTACATTTTGCATGTCGTGCACAATAAACCTAAAGGCACCAGGGTGGCAGTGCCACCGGCTTCATATATATATATGTATATATACAGTATATATATATATATATATATATTATATATATATATATAGCTGTGATCCACGATGAAGGGCAAAAGACAGTGGCATGGCCACCCTGGTGCTTTTAGGTAACTAAGGAACCGGGGTTGCGGTGCCACCGGCTTGGGCCCTTCATCGCTGCTCGCAGCTATATTTTATCATTGCAATTTAAGTGAAATCACTGAACTTAAATATACAAGCTTGAAAAAATGATCATTCTAGAAGAAAATTTCAA